GTCCATCTCCAAATATATAAACTCATACAACTCACAAACAATCCAATTAAAAAACAGGCAAAAACACTTCTCCAAAGAGGACAAATGGCCAAGAGACATATGAAAAAATACTCCAAGTCACTAATCATCAGAGAAATGAAAATTAAAACTACACACCTGTCAGAATGGCTACCATCAATAAATCCACAAACAAGTGCTGGCAAAGATGTGAAGAAAAGGGAACAAGTTCACTGCTGGTGGCAATTGGTGCAACTACCATGGAAATTAGTATGGGTTTTCCTCAAAAAATTAAAAATGAAACTCCACTGGACTCAATGATCCACTTCTGGATATATATCCTAAAAACCCTGAAACACCAATAAGGAAGCATATATGCACCCTATGTTTATAGCAGCATTATTTACAATAGCTAAGATTTAGAATCAGCCTAAGTATCCATCAGTAGATGAATAGATAAAAAAGCTGTGGGACATTTACACAATGGAATACTATGAGCTGTTAAAAAAAAGGGGGGGGAGGGGCATCTGTTATCCTTTGGGACAGCATGGATGGACCTAGAGACTATTATGCTAAGTGAAATAAGCCAATCTGAGAAAGACAAACATCACATGTTCTCACTTATTTGTGGAATCCAATGAACAAAATGACTAACTGACCAACAAAGTAAGAGCTGAGCATGGAGGCATGGAACAGACTCACATACCTCAATGTGGGGGTGGGGGAACGAGGAGAGATAAACCAAAGAAATTACATACTTACATACATAGCCCATGAACACGGACAATAGGGTGGTGGAGACAGGGGTTAGGGGGGCAGGGGCTGGGCAGAGGGAGATAAACAGGGAGAAAATGGGAAACATCTGTAATACTGTCAACAATAAAAAAATAATAAAAACTGAAAAAATAAAAACGTGTGTTAATATTAATGTTCAAATTAAAAACAAAAAAAACTTCAAATTTCAAAAGAACCCCTGAACCACATCAATGCAGCACAATTTGATAATTACTATCTCCTTACTTTTCATCTCCTATGAATTTTACCTGTTTCCAGTGCAGCCTCACTTCTATTGTTTTTTTTACGTACAGCTGTTTGATTAATCTTATTACAACCCAACTATTGCCGGCACAAGCAGTTTACTAGTAATGATTTCCATAATCTACCGAGTCAAGTACAGTTCCAGGCACCTGAAGCCCTCTATGATATGAACCCAGTACACTTTTCAAGTCTTTTCCTCCATCATTTCCCAGACAAATTCTAAACTCTAGTAAACCAATTGTTTTCCATTCCTTAAACAAATCTTTTTCAACTACACAGCCTTTTATTTTAAAGGTTATGTATCTACTGGTATTTGAGATTTTCTTGCCTTACTAACTCCACCTAAGAAATTTCTGCTCATCTTTTTGAGCTCAGCTCAAACCCCACCACCCTGCTAAACATTGCTTCCACCTCTAACCATGTTAACGAATTATGTACTTTATTTAATCACATCTAGACTAAGTTGTACCATAAAAAGGATTTTTAAAAAGTAGTTCCTATAAAATCTAATAACAGAAACTAATAACTGAAATGACTATTTAAAATTGCCCAATTAGTGATAGAAGTCTTCCAATAGATAGAAATTGGATTATGGTGATGACTAAATAAATTCACTAAATATTATTGAATTAATGACTTAAAAATGGGTCAATTTTATATACCTAAATAAAAATGTATTATTTTTTAAAAAAGAACTCGCATTCCTGGCCGACGTGGCTCAGTGGTTGAACATCAACTTATGAACCAAGAGGTCATGTAGGGTTTGGTTCCCGTTCAGGGCACATGCCCAGGTTTCAGGCTCGATCCCCAATGTGGGGTGTGCAGGAGGCAGCTGATCAGTGAATCTCTACCATCACAGATGTTTCTATCTCTTGCTCCCTCTCCCTTCCTCTCTGAAATCAATAAAAATATATTTTTTAAAAAAATCACAGAACGTATAAAAGAGGTTACCAAGGACTTGCAAGGAATGGGATGTTATTATTTAGTAGGTCCCAAGTTTAGTGTGGGATGATGAAAAACTTCTGAAAATGGATAGTGGTAATGGTTGTATAACACTGTGAATGTTCTAAATGCCAATGAAACATACATTTTAAAATCGTAAATTTTATATTATGTATATTTAACCATAATTTTTAAAATGAGGTTGGTTTTATTTTTTTATTTTATTTTCTGAAAATATATATCTTTATTGATTTCAGAAAGGAAGGGAGAGGGAGCAAGAGATAGAAACATCTGTGATGGTAGAGATTCACTGATCAGCTGCCTCCTACATGCCCCCTACTGGGGATCAAGCCCACAACCGTGGCATGTGCCCTTGACTGGAATCGAACCTGGGACCCTTCAGTCCACAGGCAAATGCTCTATCCACTGAGCCAAACCAACTAGGGCCTGAGGTTGGTTTTAAACATATTGAGTTTGCAATACCTGTGGAACAATGATGGAGACGTTAGAAGAATCTAAAGCTCAGAAAAGAGAGCAAAACTGAAGAATAATTTGAAGATACTGAACCATAACTGAATTTTAGGAAGTAACCCAGTACCTAACATGTAGTAGCTGCTCAATAAATATTGTCAACTAAATATTTGTTGTTAAAAAGAATCAATAAATTTTCTTAAAAATACAAAACATTTCAATTTTCTCATCAGTTGACAATGATTCATCTTACGGATTTGTTAAGTACCATATTAAGCTATCATTATATTTCTACATTCTATAGACTTCTCGGTACTTTATATGCACAAAAGAGAATCACTTTCTTATGCCTTGGTCTGTTTTACACATGAATAAGTATCACAAGAAATCAAGACTTGGAGTCTTCTCTCTTTATAGGTGAGAGGTAATACCCACCCGAACAGTTACTGTGTGATTGGCAGATGGTCTCAAGAGAGGCAGTTGGGTCCCACACTTAGGCATTCTTCTCATCTCCTCAATGGGAGTTCCAAGCCATTTCTTATCTGGAGAAAGGTGAGGTGGAACGTATTTAGGGATCCTCCTGTCTGTCCTTTGATGTTTGATTTCACATTGTTCTTTTCTAAGGTCAAAACAAATGTATACAGTCACGAACTACTTACTGTTTAAATTCACTTAGATACACAATACAAATCTTACCTAGAATGTTATTGTTTTAAATGTGCCAAGCTTGTCTTTCTACTTGGTAATTAAGAAAAATAAAAAAACTTATAAAGCTTATAGTAAAACCCAAGAGTTCAGTTTCACTAGTTTGTGGAAGAAATTCCCAAACACAAGTAAATCACTTTCTGAAGAAATGACCATTTAAGAATATGGACACTGCCAGTCATCTTCCATGAAGTGAACTTTGACAGGAAAAATAAATCACAGAAATAATAAAGAGTGGGCTTTAAGATTCCATAAGGAATATTTACAAAAACGTAACTTTCAATATATTATTTTTGTAATTAGACAGCCTGGGATTTAAATCGCAGTGTTAAGACCCACAAATTACATAATTTCAGTGAATTCTCTAACACAAATTTCAGTGTTCTCATTTTTTAAGTGAGTACAATACCACCTGCATGCCTTTCAGAGCATTAGAGAAACTGCAATATACAATGGCCTAGGGAACGGCTAAATGAACAGTAGCTGCTATCAATCAAATATTTTTATGTCTTGATAATTCACATTAACTTCAAAAGGAAGTTCATTAAACTAAAAAACTGATTAACAATACTTATTTACATCTTCTTTTCTGTTTCTGGCCTTTTTAGAATTTAAAATTTGGAGTCTAGGTTCAAATTAGCATAAACAGATAGCAAGAAACACAACTGTTTCTTTGCTTCAGTGTAAACTGTATCTTTGCTAAACTCCCCTTAAAAAAATTACAAAATGCATTGCACTATTGGAGATACACCTGATAGAAAAAAATTACCTTTTGTCCTCTGCTTTAGGCATTCTCACGAAATGATCTGTGATTTTAGAACCCTTTTTCCCATGTTGCTTGGAATTTCTGCATTCTACATTCAGGCTAGAAGTACTTCCAGGCAGTCTGGCACTTAAATCATTCATTCCAGCACAACTTTCTCGTTCAAACTGGAAATGTAATCGAATTTCACCTCCCTTAGCAGATGACTGTTTCCTCAATCCAGTGTCAGCTTCTTTGGCTTGGAACTTTGAAGGTTTATTTGCTCTTTGGGTGGAACTGCTATCTTCTTGTTCATCAAATCCTGGACTCGTTTCTTCATCTGCTTCTGAGTCCTGACAACTATTTTTGGAATTATCTACATCCATTGGTGACTCGAGTTCACTTTCTTTCTCAAATGGAGGAGAATTTCCTAGGCTACTTTCCTGCCTACTCAATTTGTTGGCATTTTTCAGTCCAGTATTGACATCCTCTGAGCCAATGTCTGACAGGGGACTCTCAGGCACTACATCTATCTCTTCCTGTTGACAATCTGCACAGTCTTCCACAAGGTGGCAAGACTTTCTGCACTTCTGGTGGCTTCTGGCTTCTCTGGCCTGTTCACCTTCTGTAGTCTGCTTTGCATTTGCAAGCTTTACAGGTATAAAAAACTGTTGATTATCTCTACTTTCCTCACCATACGTGTCACTGTAATCATCATTTTGAGGTGACTGATCAACGTTAGCATTGCTGAACTGTTCTGATACCAGAGTTCCTGTTGGAGGTTCACCTTCCAAAAGTTGCTCAGTGTGTTTTCCTTCATTTTGCCACTTACACATAGCTGCAGTCTGCTGCTGGTTCAAATACTGTGTACTTTTTTCAACTGGTGATTTATCAATACTTCGCTGAGAAACATTTTCTAATTTTTCCATGTTATGTTGATAAAAGTTATCTTTTTGTACAGAACTCATCATGGATTCTATTCTTGTATTGTTGTTTTCTTTACTATGCAAACTATAAGAAAATAGAAAGAACTAATGACAAAACAGAACTTACATTATAATAGAAAGAACTTATGATGCAAAGAAACCACTTACCCAACCACATTCCAACATCACAGCAATAATTAAACTACTTGTGATTATCTAAGCATACAGCATTCTCTTTATGACTCCATGTCTTTGCATATATGCCTATAATGCCCTTTCCCCAACTATGTGCCTAGTAAACATCTCCCAGGATGAAGCAATAAACGTCACTTCCTGTGCAGTCTTTCCTAAAGGTAAAGTGGATTGTTTGTTTTACATTCTTACTACCACTGTACCTTGTTTATACCTTTACTATTGCATTTATCACACTAAGTAATATAGCAGGTCCTTGAATAACATTGTTTCATTCAATGTCATCCATCTACACTAATAAAAGAGAAAAATGGTAATTGGCGTACGACGCTACCCTTTTCATTGGCTAATCAGGGCTATATGCAAATTAACTGCCAACTCAGATGGCAGTTAACTGCCAACAAGATGGCGGTTAATTTGCATATGTAGGCACAATGCAGGGAGGCGA